GCTGATTTCGAGGTGAAAAAAATTCGAAATCGAAAAATTTTTTTTGGAATATTTATTTATATCATCTAGAGATGCCAAAACCGTAAAAAAATTCTAGACCTGATATACACTTTAATGTTTATTAATACAAGAAATAGATATATAAATAAATATTTTCTCCCAACTTTTCATTATAACTTTTATAAGATTGGAGTCAAAAATTGAGAAATGTAATTTATATAATCAGTTACTGGTAATGATTATTAATACAAGAAATAGAAATATCAATAAAAAGTTTTACCCAACTTTTCAGTATAACTTTTGTAAGATTGAAGTCATTCTTACCCCGTCATCAATACTTGATTGAACTGAAACGTTTTATTACCAAAAATCCATATACTTTGGATTGGTGTATCAATATATTTACAACACTAGTAATATTGCAAGAACGTTGTCATATAAATATAAAAGAAAAAGAAAACAAATAGGAATCAATTAGAAATATTTGTTTATTTTGATTCTAAAGCCCTCTATATTGATGAGAATAGCTTTTTTAGTGTGTAAATGTCGATCTATACCTTCAAAACAGTGAAAAAATTACAACAGTTACTGTTTTGCAAAAAAAAAAGAATTCATTCCTATATACCATTTTTAATTTTTATATGACAACATTCTTGCAATTTGGTGTATATATGTCATTTCTTTTGATTTGGCATAAATGATATTTTTAATACTAAGCAGTATATTGAAAAAGAGAACATTTGTGCATGTGCTGCATTTATCTTTAAAGCACATAGGGATTGTCAGAGCACAAAAGAAGTGTTAGGAGAAAAATGATGTGTAGCGGAGTCAGTTCTCAACACTTCTTGAGTCTTCGTTCATCCCCAAGTAATTATAATAATGATAAATACAAGTCTAGACTAGAAATATTTAGGTATCTCTTGACTACAACTCTGTAGTGGCTGTAATAATAACAAAAGTAATTAGAAACAAATTTGTTTTTTGAACAGATTAAAGACTCAATTGACAAGAGCTAGCCACAGCTGATTTCCAAAGATGTAATGACTATAACTTGTATAAAGTAAGAATTGTTTTTCAACACAAATCCCACTGCCAGTCAACAGCACCCTCATTGAAAAAGTAATCTTTGAAGGTCTCCCTCACTGACTTGGCATACATCGATGCATTATGTCCAGTTGATGGGACATTAAGAAGCAGGAATGACTCTTTAGAGGACTCTTGGAGCGAACTTCCAGGAATTACTTTTCCATCTTGATCTTGATCTACCAATCCCATAGGGCAGTAGGCGACTCGTGACAAGCTCTGTCATAGGTAATTGTGCAGAACAAGGGCTGTGAATACTATCAATTCAATAGCATTTGGTTGAAGCAGAAGGACAGATCRGAATGCACCATTACCAAAAATACCGGACATTTCGCTCCGGCAGTATTTTTCGACAGCAGTGTTGCGGGGTCAAGATGGCGCRTGCCTCCTAGTGTCAAATTTCTCATAACAACATGGCGGAGCGTGGTCGAAGAACCATGAGAGTTGATTACAGGGCACTAAATAGGCTTTCAACTGCCGATTGTGACATTGTTTCTCAATCAAAACAAAAGTATAAATGTGGAGCCAAAATTTACGAGGTGGAGAGGATAATAAGCAAGCGAACAACGTCTACRAAGGTCAGTAAAACTTTGGTAAAATAATGATTCGATTCACAATCACAAATGCTTTATTTTCTTCGATCTTTGTTAAGTTGATACAAATTATATTTGTGTTATTTTTATGCAGGATAACGATTACCTCTTGAAGTGGAAAAACTGGCCCATTTGGACCTGTTCCTGGCAGCCTTCAAGTCATTTAACAGAGTCTTTGATCAGGTTAATATATATAAGTTTAATACTCGTGTAAAGCATATTTCCCACTAATAAAATGCTTTTGTTAAACAATGAAGTCGTTTTTTTTTTGTAATAAATTTTGCATATGTATTTTTAGGAGTTATAGTTTTCCTGTTATTACACCTGAAAGGCTTCAGCATGCAACAGCCACCTTCTTGGAGGGTATCACAAGTATTCTGAGGTTTAAATCAGTAAAAGCTTTACACAATGCTGATATCCGCATTGATCATGATATAATGAGATACGTATTTARAGGCCTGGGCAAAAAAGCTGCAGATARCAAATCTATGCTCTATGAAAAATCTGACTTTCATAGGTTTAACCTTCCTGCATACTGGCATTATTGCCTGAATGAACATGGCCAAGGCATTACTGTTGACTTCCCTATTAAGCTTAGGTTAGTCCTTTCATATACAAAGAGTTACTATGTTGTGTAATCTGGCAAATTACAAAAGACTCCAACATCTCCAGTAGAAAAAGTTTTGATTACATTGAACCGGAGAGCCTGTGATCAGTACAATTTATATAGATGAATATGATAGATTATTCACACTAAATACTAAGACAGTTTATTAACACAATTATTTAGAACTATCAAGAGTGGTTTTCATAAACCCGTGAAATACTTTTAGAGAATGTTGTACTTTTAAACTCTAATTATTTTCTGCTCTTGTTTGAATCTGACTATTTCACTTAATACATCTTGTTTAACGGGTTTATGAAAACCATATATTACTACAGCTGAATGACATTTACAGGTTTAGAATGAGCACTMTACTGGAATTGTAGAACAGAAACATGTATACTGTGTAACAGGACTATATGTACACTTGTTGCAGTTTATTACATTTGTTATAGACACAGTTTTAAAGTTTTGTATAGAAAACTCAAATAAATTAAAATTTTGTTCTTTTTCTAACATTTATAATAATGATAAATAATTAAATATGATTTTTTTTTCCTTTTTTTTCTAAGCCAGCAGCTTAATGATGAATTATAATGATAAATAATTCAAATACAAAAAATAGATTTAAAGATTAAAAAGCTCAGGTATGATAAATAAAAAAGCTTATATTARTTTGTACTTTTAKGATTATCCATCTAAATTACTTGTAGTAGTGCATGTTGATGTGCCTTCGGTATCTTTTCTTCTTTTCCTTGATTCTAAAATTTTTTCATCCCACCAATCTTTGTTCCTTTTTGTATTACTTTCTTTTTTCTCTTTCATGATGTTGTAGAGCTTTTTGTCTTGCTTCTAATAATAAGATATCATGGGCAGCATCCCATTTGTTTGACTTCTGATAATATATTGCTTTAGCATCATCATCGTTCTTTTCTACACCTTGCCCAGAGAATTGCATTAATGATCCATGATTACAAAAAAATTCTGGTATGTGATAGGGGATGGAATGCATATATGGGGTCACTCTAGCTGTGCCATAGCCAATGYGTTTAGAACCAAGGTTACAAAATGAAGTTATCCACTGCTTGGCTTTTTGATGGATATCATTTGGTGTTTGATCATCTGTTTCTGTACTGCATATTAACTGGTACAATAAATAAAAGTCTTCCCAAAGTTTTATGACATTAGCTTTTGTATCCTCAAAAAGGACATTCATAGATTTTAGCTTTTCAGGTAAAAATTTCATAAGTTTTTTTTGTCTGATCCAACTAGACTTGTCCAGTCTTTCTGGCCACTGGATTTTCCATCTGCATTTAATTTTTACCCAATAGCAAATGTTATTCCAATGTCATTAATGGCTTCAACAAGTTTTATTAGGTGTAGACCTTTGGCTTCTCCACGTTTTTTATTACACTGTAAAATCCTCTTTGCTGTCTTTCACCATTACTTCAATAATTAAGTTTTCAGTAAGTCTGTCTGTTACCCTCAGCATCATGTGTAGCTCATCTAAAATTACATGATCAAGTTCAATATTGAAYAATGGTGGATTGATACAACAAAAATTTTCTTTTGACTTTGTGCAGCATTCCTTAATTGATTTTAGTGTTCTCTTCAGTTTATCAGACTGGTAGTATTCTAAGTTGTGTTGCATATCCCACCTCTTGGATTTATGAATTTTACACCACAAACAGGCATAGTCTGATGTAGCACCACTAAGGCCCATTGAAAGTAGCAGAAATCTTAAATCCCCTCCAAGAAAAAACTCTACTGGTACCTGCTTGTCTCCTAATTTGACTTTTTGAGATTTGATGTGATCATTTATTTCATCAATAATGTCTTTAAATGAAACCTGGAGAGTTTCATATTTTTCAGGTCCACTTACAATGGCTATTGTGTGATTGCCTTTTGAAGAGCTAAAATCACCTGCTTGGAGCAAAGAAAATGACAAAATCATAAATGTTATTGTCCTTGACATTCTTGCCCCATCTCCACTTATTTTTACTTTGAATGGGCTTTTAGTGGGATCATATGATGGATTTGAATCCAAGTACTTGGTTAAAGACTCCTTTAACATTGTAGCAAAACTGCGCTGGGCACCTGGAAGTGGTCCAGGTACCCTTTCTATGTGGCAAAAAGAATTCAGATCATCCCTCTTTTGCTTTATTAAGTACGATCGAGGAATATCATTGGTGACCAGGCTAASCTCATGATAACACTCATCACTTACATAGAACTTATCTAGGAGAAATAAAATCTGTTCCAGCCTAGAATGTTCTTCTTGTGAAAGACTTGCATAACSATTYGGCCCTTWAGAGCTGGTACTTTCCCTTTCCTCATAATTCACATTATAAATCTTGTTACCATCACTGCCGTCTTTAAATGTAATAGATGAGATATCCAGCCCAAATGACTTTGAAAACCAAAGAGCACATTGAGCTCTATCTTTTGTTTTAGTTTTCTGGATTTTTGTTTCTCACCAACTTCTGACATTTTCTTTGAAGTGCATGAGAATTCATTAGCACTTGATGATTCCTCTAATGTCACAACATAAGCTTTGAGTTCGTCATTAAGTGCATCTAAAACTTCTAYTTCTTCATCTTTTGATTGTAAAACCTGTTTCATTTCTTCCAAAAGCTTGCATTTTTCATTTTCTATATCAGTGTACTTCCTTTTCCACTGCTCAAGTTCCATGCTGATGTCTTCATAATCTTCTCTAAGCTTTGTTACTGACACAAGCTCTTTTGTCAGGACACTGAATTCAGCATATTTTTTATCCAGCTCCTTTCTATTTCTCCCTCCTTGCACTTCTTGTAAAGTGAGAGAACTCTTCCCATTTCCTTTCTTATATTTTCTTCGAGCCGCCCACTAAATTCTTGTGCAACAGCCCAACATCCACCAGGTACTGTAGCATTTAGCAATTCAGTAATGCTAAGGCAGCTTCCATCTGAGGTGTTCTTTGTACTSAATTTTTTCCATATTTTAAACAATGGAAATGGTACTTTCACAGTGAAAGCAACTTCAAACAACTCTGCAGATTCTTGATATAAGTWAGCAAAAGAACTCCTTGCACTTACCTCAGAATCAAATTTCAATTTCCAATTGATCACTTCTTTAGTATATTCATTCAGATATTCAGACATTTTGATATTGGGATTAATAACAAAGTAATCCCACTTCTCATAATAAAAAACAATCTAAGGGGTAGGGGCTTGTCAGTTATCTCATACATCAGATTTACACTTTTATAAATTAGGATATAAAAAAGTAAATACATAGCAATTCACTTTTAAGAGCAACAAGCACAATAGACTATCTAAACTTCTTTACGTTTCAGGCAAAACGTATTATTGAACATTGCTTTATCTTACTACTCCTCATCTCCCCCACACGGTAATTTTTTGTTCGCCTTAAAGGCCTGGCTACTGAGGTATAATATGGAGGAGAAAGAGTCGGAGAAAAGAGCTCTGTTGGTGCTTTTATACTCGATATTTTAAAAACTTTTTCAAGTCCTGAAAGATTGATACTTCGACAATGATATCAAATAGCATATGGGGAAAAAGCTGTGGTTTCTATCGAATTTTGCCCGCTCCAGATGAGAACGAATTGGCGTTAAAGATGGCTCTGAGACGAGTGTGTTATGTGAATGATTGGACGTGGAGACCGCAAGATGGATTTATCTCCGTGATCATGCAGAATTTTATCTACTTAGGGGACAGTATGACTATGATTTTAAGAGAATGTGTGGTGAAATAGCACATTATTTTTAACAGTATTTTGCCCGAAAAAGACCTTTATGCAGGCATCATAAGTTGAGTCTGGTAAGTGCACTGAAGTACGATAAATTGATCCATAACACCACAAAATGTCCAAGCCACTATTAACCACTTTATTTTAAGCTTTTTAGTTTTACTACCATATGATCCTTTGTACGGATCCACCATTTTTAAATGCCCGTAAARATGTTTGCATAATGAGGGGGCCGCCATATTGTCCGGTATTTTTTGGTAATGGCCATCTGTTGGCAAGTATGCCAAAGAGATTTTCTGAGAGCCTTTGTGCCCAACTATGTCGGTAGTTGTAAACCCGCTTATCTTCTGTTAGGCCATGCTGCGGGTATGGCTTCATCAAATGTTTCTTTAATGCAAAGGTGTCATCTCATTATCCTTGAGATTATTTTTCTCTTTACTACCCCTCCAAACAAAATGAGGCATTTCAAAACCCAGGGTTTGTTCTATTTGTTTAAATAATTTAAAAGCCTAATAATTCCAAATGCAAGCTATGTCAAGTGCACTTGAAAAGTCATTGAAAAATATCAATAGTGCTGGATATTCTTTAAATTTTCCTGGTCAATGGCATTATTTGAGAGAAAAAGYATAATTAAATATGGCGGCAGGTACTCGTTCTAAAGGAGGCTCAAAAACTGAACAAGGACTACTGTAGGATCTAAAGGCTTCTCCAACACTCTTGACATGATGAAAGAGTTACTAAAAATACAAGAAGCCTTGAGATTAGTCAAGCAGAAATTGCTGAAATGAAGGCCACAAATTGTTAAAGTCGATTAGAAACGATCGAGTCTAACATTGATCATCTTCTTGACAAGGCAGATGACCTGGAGAATTGGTCAAGGCAGAATAATTTATGCTTTGATGGAATCGACGAAGCTACAGGAAATGAAAGCTGGTCCCAATCCGAGGAGAAACTCAAAGAAAAGTATTTAATAATATTATTTAATAATCACTGACAAACTACAGTTAGATGGAGACAATATATCAATCGAACGTGCACATAGAATTGGCAAAAAGAAGCCAGGAAAATTGAGTCCAATTGTAGCACAATTTCTGAACTACAAAGATCTTGATCTTGTACTCAACTCCAAGCGTAACCTAAGAAGAACGCGAATCTCCATTTGAGAAGACTTCTCAGATCGCGTGAATGCCAAAAGGAAGGAGCTAATGCCCAAACTAAATGAAGCTAGACAGCATGGGAAGATTGCATATCTAAGCTATGATAAACTCATAGTACGAGATAGGTATTATGGCAGTCAACCAACCTATCTTCGATGCGCCCACCATTTACACAAGCAGGACCTGGTAGATTCATACTGCAGCCGATATTTATATATAATCCACAACTTTCTCAAGAAACGCCACAAGTGCCAATCAATTCAAGCAATAATGTCAATGTTTCTCGAGACACAAGCAATACTTGAACAGAATATGCTTTTAGGACAAATTATTACAATATACTGATGATGAACTATATCTCTATCATCTTTACACAGCTAAGTGGCATACATATTATTAGTATTACGTTACAATTATTAGTTTCTTTATGATTGATATAAGTTAAATATYATATTCTAAATGGTCAGATTAGGGTAGACATGCTAATTCATGCGCCGTAAACAAGCTAAAAAAATTAAAATGCGGAGAAGTAAAGATGCAATTATAGAATAAAAAATTTTAATTCTTCATTGTTTAACTAGTAAACATGTATTAAGACATTAACTATGATAATCTGAAAGCGTTATTCACGTGCATTTATTAAAATATTACGAACACAAACTGTAGCACACAAAATTCTAAATTACGAGGCAAAAAATGCTCTTAAAACAGAAAAAAAATTCATACAGTGTAAGACGATATTCTTAAAACGACAACTAAGTACAACGATCGAATGTTTGAGCATTACTTACCGAGAAAATGGCGATCGAAACGACAGAAGTTTTCTCACACCTTTAGCCCGCCATATTGGATGAACCGAGATGCACGTAGTCACGTGGTCATGCACGTAGTCACGTGGTCATGCACGTCATCACGTGATCATCAAACCTGGGGACGTAAGGGGAGGTGTTTGGGGAGTGAACTTGAACCATATGACAAAAGCAAAAAATATTTTCCCTTTCGAAATGGAGAATATTTTTCGCATTCGTCATATCCGAATATAGCGACTGCGTAGAGACAGTAAACAAGCAATGAATTACTAGAGCAGATCCAAATGCATATAAAAATAGATCAAACTAATTAATTAAGGCTACAAAAATCGCTAACTTGAACCATATGACGAAAGCAARAAATATTTTCCCTTTCGAAAAATATTATTCGCATTCGTCATATCCRATTTAGAATTATTTTGCAACTCAAGTAGTTCTATAAACAACTCTTTCATGCGACAAGACAAGTTTATTTCTTATTCCTTGTTCTTTGAATGTGATGAGAGATCGATATTTTATGACGCGAGTAATGATTGAATTACTGTAGATCGTTTAACTTAGTAAAACCATTAGGGTCAGAATCAAAAGCTAAAGGAAAATAAATTGTCTGTGTAAAGAAAAATTTTGATGGCCAAGATTTTGAGAGGATCTTGAAGTATTAACTCACAAATTATTGTAGTCGATCTGTTGCCATAGAAACGCATTCAGGAAAAACGAATCCTAATAACTTAGTGACTTGGCTTTCAGATTTAAAAACACCGGGGGGAAAATATCTACACAAAATGTTTTTTAAAAAATTTCCATTTCGAAAGAAAAGCGACACTCAAATGGTTTCCTGTGAGGCTGTATTTGCATTTGAATGGATTTTCGGCAGGTTTGTGTCGGCTAAACTATTGAGTAACGCAATACAATGTGGCACACTTCCTCATAGAAGCGTTTAACGACCATTTTCACTTTTCTAAACTTATATTATTCTATCATGGATGATCATAAAAAATTATAGGAGCAGATTTTCAATTGATTTTATGTTTCTACGTACTCTGTTAGCTTAATGAATAGTAAGCGATCAATGCTGTCGTTGGAATTATGCAATAAACGGTAGTCAGTTGTGACGTCACTATTTTTTGGTAGGTTTAACAGATAAGACTTGCTTTCAACCGGCTTGAAAAACCGGTTCTTTTTGCTTTTCCAGAAAAACGAGCATTAAAAATGTTGTTATCAACGAAATCAAGAGTCGGTTCTCAAAAGAGAAAGAAAGCTCGTGTCGTTTGGGTTGAGTTTTTAGCTCGTGCGCTAGAAGATTGTCACAAGGGCGACGAAAAACCAACATCCCATATCGAAGAATATACTTGAAATACGAAATACACGTATCAAGATGAAATCTTTGCTGGTAAAGATTACAGAAAGGAACACAGACACGTATTGGTCTTGGGTCGTGTGCTTCTCTTCATTTTTCATTCAAGTTCTTGTGATAGGCTTACAGAACTCGTTCGGGACTATATTCGTTTCTTTGCTAGACAAATTTGGCCGCAGTGAATCCGCAACAGGTAGGTCAATCAGTCGATTTTGTTTTTAACCGGTACAATAGAATCATCGTTTTTCAGTGAATCTGTAAGCTAGTCAAATTTTTAAATTTAGTTTTCCGTTCAAAAGCGAAATGGTCCCGATATTGAAGATTTTTCGAATATTCTCTTTTTAAAATGTTCCCATTAAAAAAAGTTTTAACTTTAATATAACTATAAAATTTAAACTTATATAAAATTCAGGAATATAAAGGCTGTTTACAAAGCTGCCATACTTTCTAGCTCATTCTCTGCCCACGTAAATTATTCTTAAAACCAGTTATTTTCGTGCAATAACAGGAAGTAAACCAGATGCTGCTTGAAATAATGAAATCTTTTTAAATAACCGGGTTGACTTGAATACATGAAATATAGATCGCCGATTTTGAATGAAGGCAAATGATATTATAGGCGTAGGTAAAATTTTTTTAACCACTAATAATCGGAATCAATTTGASGGACAGACGGACGGAGGGAGAGGGAGAGAGAGGAAAAAAGAGGGATGGATGGGTGGGTGGATAAATAAAGTAGAATAAACAAATAAAATAGTAAGAGAAGGAGAGATAGAGAATGAAATATGGAAATAAATGGCAAAAAGGGACCATGAATAAATAAATGAATGACTGAATGAAGAAATGGAAATAAATAGGAAAAAGGGAATAAATGAATGGAAATAAATAGGAAAAARGGAATTAAATTAAAAAGTGAATGAATAAGTGAATAAAAAAAATTGAAATAAATAGGAAAAAGGAAATTAATTAATGAATAAAGAAATATAAAACGAAAGAACGAGAGAGAAAGAAAGTAGAAAGAGAGGTTGATATTGGAGTTGATTGCATGGATTAATACATCTTTTTTTTTTCAGTATGGGTTGGTACTACTGCTATTGGCCTCACATACTTCTGCGGCCCTCTGTCTACTTACCTCTGCAAGCGTTTTGGTTGTCGTATAGTCGCCTGCACGGGTAGTGCCTTACTAGCGATCTCTGGATTCCTAACTTCTTTTGCAAACAGTATAACAACGATGTACTTTACATTTGGTGTGCTGAATGGCATTGCTTCAAGCCTGCTATTCTTCTCATCACTTGGGGCTTTGATAGAGTACTTTTACGTGTATTTACCTTTAGCCAGCGGGATTTCAGTGTCAGGTTCAGGAGTCGGTACACTGATTATTACACTTCTGCTTCAACAACTCCTCTCAAGATACGGAGTAAAGGTTGCCTTCCAGATCCTGGCAGGGATGTCTGCTTTCTGCTTCTTAGCTGGTCTATCTTATGCACCTCTGAAGAGTTCTAAAGAAAGCAATTTAAAAGAACCAATCAACGACTTTCATGAGAAGACTTTAAAGCAAATAGACAGTAATGACGGCAAGCAAAATATTAGGGGATGTTTGAGATTATTCAAGTTAGGAAAGCATTGGAAGAACAAGGGGTTTGTCGTCTGGACGATTGCCATGACTCTTATTATGTTTGTTTGCTATATCCCGCTGATGTATCTTGTAAGTATTATCATTATTATTTTTTATTATTTTTTATTATTATTGTTGTTTTTTTTTCTTCTTACTGCATTTATTGCTTTTTCTTATTTCACATCGTTTTCACTAATAGAATTATCAACATCATTATCATCATCATCATCATCATCATCATCATCATTATCATTATTATAATTATTATAATTATTATATCGCCCGGAAACAAGCTGCGCATTTACACAAAAGAAAAAAAGTTTGCTTGCTGTGCTGTGCGCAGTTATAAAAGCACTTGGGGAATGGCAGAACACTCGGAAAGTATGAAGAAGCACTCCTATACGCGTCGTGCTTCTCTTGTGTCCTGCCAACCCCCGCGTGCTTTATAACTGCACACAGCACGCGCGAGCGTTTTCTATTACTTCATTATTGCTTCATAGTTTTAAAAAAGTAAAAAAGTATTTTTCCACTTTCATATTTTCACAGTTACGCCCAACACAGCCCCAGACGTATGGGTTTCTGGCTTCGTGAAAATGTGCGCGTTTTATTTAGAACAATAAGATGACATGTACACTTAACAGCTCTCTTCCCACACGCACACTTTAAGAAGTAATAAAAATATACTTCGTCTCGGGTAATATCCGTTGATATTGCTGATGAGTGCACGCAGCAATTAGTCATTACTCAGCTTCATATYCATTAATGTGGCTGAGTATGATCATGATTTTCGATCTGTTTAAATCTATATACCATTTTGAATCAAATAAAGTTAACCAAGATTGTTTATGCTGTAGGTACTAATAGCAGAAGACATAGGTGTGCCTCCCTCCAAGGGTGGGTYCTTGATCAGCATCTTTGCTATCAGCTCGACAACGGGCAAGTTATTAGTTGGAAAGCTATCCAATGTCAAATGCGCAAATCGTCTATGGATAGCACAGACTTCACTACTCCTGATGGCCGTCTCGACGTGTCTTCTTCCCCTTGCCAAGTCCTACAGTGCTTTGGTTGCTTACTGTGTCGTGCAAGGATTCTTCGATGGCGGTTATACAGTATCAATTGGTTTAATAACTAATGATATTGTTGGCAAGGAATTGATGGCCGGCGCTGTTGCCAGTGTTTACTCTGTTGTCTCGATACCAATGACCGTTGGACCAGTAGTAGCGGGTAAGTTTTCTCACATTCATTTCTTGTACAAAACCCAAGTGATTCTAAGTAGAAAGAATTCTAAAATAAGCGGGCCTAAAATCACTAGACCCAAACAAGTTAGCTACGCATTTCATAGACGTCTCAGTGGCGGGCGTGATATCATAAATTGTTGCACTAACGTTATTTTGTAAAAGCTGCGATCTGTAAGTTGGAAAGCCTGTTGTCCGCCATCAAACTGCGTGTCTACAGGTCACAGAATTCCGATTCCCTTGGATTATTATTGGATTATGTTTGCGCGTTTTGAGGACTTTTAGTCTCTCTAGGAAAAGTTCATAAATTCTTAACTAGCATTAGATGATGTCTGCATGTAAAACGTCTGTCGCCCGCAAACAATTTGCGCATTTCCAATTCTCTTTTAACATACATACRTACATACAACGTGGCCAACTTAATTAAGAAAAGATCGTCTTCGCTCAATTATTATATCGTGGTGCTGTCGTGTACCATCAAGTTGCGTATCATGGATTTCCAATTCCCGTCGTTGGATCAACCTATTAAAATCAAATTAGTGCGTTGTTACTGGTACTCATCAGTAATGACAAATCGCGTCTCTTCATAGCAAAGAAGCGCACCAGTATCGAAGATTGATTCTTTTATGTTTTCTTTGACAACAGGTGTTCTTTATGGCCATCTTGGTGATTACAATGCTGTATTCTTCCTTTCGGGGGGTCTACTACTCACTGGTATGACTATTATGTTCCTCATTCCTTGGCTGACTCCACCAACCCTAKCAAAACCCAACTTAGAACAGGATCTCACTACAGTAAAAAGTAAAGCTTTTGGTAGCTTTGTCAATGGAAATCGATACGACTTGTCGTGCGTCGATGAAAAACATATGGCAAATCTGTTGGACGAGAGTGTCGCGCATCATTTACTAAAGAGAAACAGAGCCTTTCTTGATGGCAGCACTTCAGATTCTCAACGATCAAGCTTTGTTCTTTTCACAATTGTCTCTGAGAACGATCAGCGCGATATTTCAGCTTATTCCAGTTTTCAAGACTTGGCGTTATCAAATACTGACACTGGACCTAATTTCTCCAACTCATTGAGAAATTTTTTCCATGGATCTCACTCCAGCTTGTTCTCAACGAACCACAGTGTTATAGAGGCTCCACATCTAGAGTCTATACCTGAAGTACTGTTTGATTCACGTGCTTCAGAGACCTGTGTCCTTATTCATAACGAGGGGACCTTGGAAACAGTCCGGGAATCTGAAGAGAAAGAAACAGTGAAGACGTTTGTTGAAGAAGAAGGCGAAAAGACGTCAATAACTAATATCGACATTGAGGTTACCGATAGCTTGGATAACTATAATCATGATTATGAAGACAGTCGCACTAAGGAGACAGATGTGTCTGACAAGGTTCCCCATGAAGGGATAGCCGAGGAAACATTCGCAAGCAATTTAAGCACCTCTGACTTGAGTTGTGACTCTAATAAAAGCTCTTCTTCTCAGTTGTCGACTGGAACAGCTGACAGCGGATTCGTTGAAGGGGAAAATAACTTTTTAAACAAAAGATCCGTTAGTAGCTCAAGCGACAGATTAGTACGAAAGCCTTCGCTCTACAAAGACATTCCTTTTCATTCTTACAGCTGCACTGACGTCTCTCTTCTTTCGCAAGCAGAAGGAACTAACGCCAAATTACACAAGACAAACCTGAGTCAAGATTTGATTGACAGGTGTCAATCTGAGATAGACGGCATCGATTCCTATAGCTACAGCGAAACTTCCCTTTAATCGGAAGAAAGTTATAATGGACTGAATAAGCAAGGCAACGCATCAATCGAGTGTCACGAATTTATTGACAGCCACCTTGCTGAGGAAGACCATTACGATGACATTGTTCTCAACCTTCAACCTGAAGCGCCAGATGAACTCGCTAATGAAGGATGTGGAGATCTAGACATACAGAAAAATAACGGCTGATATAGTTAACTTTAATTCGTGCATGTTGCGGAGAGCAGGGGGGAGGGGTGATAGTGGTTTTAAATATTATTACAACAAGTCCAAATATAGAATTTTTGAAATTGAAGAGGGTCAAGAATAATATATAAAAAATAATGAATAATTTTTTTACGCAAATTAAAGGGAAAAATTAATTTTAATGTTGAAAGAGAAATATATAACAATATCATGCGATAAAAAAATGAGTGATATGGTAGGCAATATTTGTAATGCTATTTAAATATAACCGTATTTTTTGTATAATGATATCCAAAGTATTATAATATATAAAATAATTATTTTCTTTAAAACTGACGGAAAATATATATAAGATTATTTATTTACTTGGCTAATATAATGCGGAGGTATTTATATAATGAACGGTGAAGAGCCATCTCAAAGAAATAATTTGAATCAGAAGTTGTAAAACTATATGTGATCAGTATTTTTGTAATATTTAAATTCAAAAAATTAATTTTGATTTAAGAAGTATATGAAGTATGCAAGTCTCGTTGCGTGTCTCTTATGGTTTGCACTCTGCTATTTATAAAAAAGAAATGCAAAARTTTTTAGTCAAATGTTTGATGTATCAGAAGTTGTAAAGTATAGGTGATATTTTTATGATATTTTCTATCAAAAGAGGAAATTTTGATTTAAGAAGTATATGAAGCATGCAAAAGACTCGATGCGTATTGCAGAGTACTAAATATTAAGCTCTTGTGGTTTGAATTTTGTGTTATTTATGAAGAAGAAATGGTAAAGTTGTAAGTCATATGTTTAATGTAATAAATATGAAGTGTTTTATTACAGCGTGTTAAATTATGATTCATCAACTCTTGTGCCCTTACCATTTGTTGTCCACTGGCCCACACCATATGACGTATTCCAGGCCCAAACACCAGGAAGACGGATTGGCATATCTTTTTGACTCAAGAATGCTCTAAGGCGTTAGGATAGCTAGTACTAGAAGAAAAAACCATATTGCTTAAACAGAGATTACTAACCAGATCGATTTAAGAGCTTTATAATTTGTTAATTTTCTACCTACCCTTGTGGCGCGGAAAAGACGACTGACCCCTCCCCCCTAACCCCTAAACGCGGTTGTTAGAGATTACGAAGGATTAGAAAACGCGCCCGCGTGCTTGTGCAGTTATAAAGCACGCGGGGTTTGGCAGAGCACTAGAGAAGTGTTAGGAKAAGCACGACGCGTAGCGTGATCCAACCCCCAAGTGCTTTACATAGCACAGTTAGCACGTTTTTCAAAATTTCTTTGACAAAATATAATTCATAATAACCGTTATTATTTATCAATTGACACGGTTTTCTTTGTTATTTACAAGGTTTTATTTTTGTTATAACCCTCATTATAAATGCGAGGTCAATATATAGTTATTAACCCGGTTAATAACTATATATATAGACCGTTCTCATTTATAATGAGCAACATTTGATAGAAAACCTTCTCAATTGATAAATAAAATACTTAATTACCTCGAACGTCGGCAATAAGCCTATACATCCCTCGGTCCTGCGGCCCTCGGGATGTATATGGCTTATTGCCTCCGTTCGAGGTAATTAACTCTTACTTTTAGATAGGAATTACGCAACTGAAAGTGCGCCCGCGTGCTGTATGCTCTCATAAAGCACGCGCTCTCAATCAATCAGAACGCGAGATTTCTAACAGTTACTTTGTAAACACTAGTAATGACCGATACCCGTTAGGAGTGTTGCTGCACTACTCACAGTCCTACTGGGATTTCAACTTTATTACTAACCATAGTCTCACATTTGGAACCGTTTTAAAATATGACACTATGACGGTACAGCTGGTTCATAAACAATTGTGCAATTTTATAGTTGACGAATCAACATGTGAGTTTAGTGTTGTTTCACATAAAATAATAGTGTAGTATAATGCACCCATCGGCGAAAGCCGAAAATATAATCAGCTTCAGCCTGCTCTAACAAATATAATGTTTTATTATTATCGCGAGACGTTTTCTTTACGATTTCCTCGAAACGGAAACCATTTGAGTCAGGAGCGCTGAATATTAATATCATTATTAACATCGTTGTTGTTACAAAAGAACATTATTAGCTGTAGCTAGTTTTTAAATATTTTTTGAAATCAATGCCTTAAAAAAGTAGTCACTTGTCAGTTTTTTTCTTGTCGCGAAAGTTTTTCTCAAACACGCAAGCGATTTCAGTGTCACGACACTGTATGTTATGTAATTCGTTATAAAATACTGTAACTTTAAAACTGATGGTTATTGYAACACGTGCGTGACAGACAATTAAATGCATCGCTTCACAACTTAACTCTAACTGAATACAATGGTTTTAATCCCTATAATTTTATGTTTTTCTCTTTAAATGTAATCAAGGATTTAAATTCTATTGCCTATTTTCATATCAGGTATGAAAACTAACTCTGCAAAAAAGCTTTGCATTAGATACTTCAGCCTCAACTCAAACGATTAAACTATTTTTCAACCTATACTTATGTCAAACCAGCCTTAAAAACAAAGTTATACGGTACAGCTTTTATTAAATGGAAAATTACTTTTTTATTCATTTCTCGAAAAAGAAAAAAAAATATCCTCGCAATGTATCCTTGTATTTTAATCTAGAAACCTGTTTTTTTTWWAATCATTTTTCATATCTTTTATCCTCGTTATTACATCATGCTAGGCAAATTGTTCTCACATAACAGGTTTTTGATATTCAAATTAGCCAGCCCAAAACAAAACAAGTCACATGCCACCCGGTGCTCTTCTCGTGCAAMTGAAGTCCCTTTGAAAAGAAATTTTAGATACTCCCTACATTTCGAAAAATCTAACGTCGAGTAATGCTTCTTGGTTTAATTTAGCAATAACTAAAGTCTGCAATTTTTAATATAGACTTTGAACCGAACGAACTAGAAAAATCATTTATTAAATCGCTTAAAATTTGAAATTAGCATACTGTAAGTATAACTCACTTATAACCGGTATTGTTTGTTTGTAGAAAGGCTTTACTTTCACTCTCTMGTGAAGAAAAATTTGCTTTTAGAGGATTCTAATAAAATTTCAAAGCAAAGAAGTTGTYCTATAGGAAAAAATAATAGAATTTCTTGAGAATTTTAGACAGAAAAATTAAAATTTAGCTGCAATCAAACAGTGTTGTTTTGTGTACAGATGACGCTATTGCTTGGGTGCGAAAACTTGCCTGACCGGTCCAGTTTTYCTTGTCAAACAAGGCATTCGAAAATTTTTTTCCGCTGTGAAAGCTATTATTTTCCTGATGTTCGAGAAGGAGCGGAGCGCTTGTCTTTCATCACTTAATCCAAAGACCCAAGCCGTTGGAAGGAAATTTTGAAAAACGATAGTCGTCGATGAAACTTCCACTTCTTAGCAGAAACGAACAACATCTATTTTAAGCTGACTTGAAAGATTTTCTAGCGATCATGAAATCGCCCAAATTGCTACAAGTTCAAATCACAGAGAAATCCATAGACTCTCTCTGGTCATGGATCGTTTGTATTTCTTCATTTTCATTACAGTTCCTAGTCGGTGGATTTCATTGTTCATTCGGTACCTTCTTCATTGCGTTACTAGACAAATTTGGTCGAAGCGAAGCGGAAACTGGTGAGTTTTTCTTTTGATTATTATTTTATTATCTCTATAAAACAAGAATACTAGCACCAGCAATTGTTTTGTCCATCGTTTTGGCTTTTTCTCTAGACAACCAAAAAATGCTTTTTGATCCTAAAGAAACAAATATTCTCGGCAAAGAGATAGAAAAAATTTCGGGCGATATTCAAATTAGGTAAACATGTCGCGAACATTTCATAAATTCAGGTTGCCTGTTATAAAATGTAGAAGAGTTTCATTTTTGGTTCATATTTCTGAATATAATTTATAGCCTTGAATAAATTTATTTTAGAGAGCTTTGCTTGAAGGAACGGTCTTGGGATTTAATTTGAGAGCGGTAGCATAAATCTTAAGGTCTCCTCTCGATAAATATATCAGTGCGGGTGGACATGTGACGCGCGCCCGGTAAAGCGCTGCTCTTAAAACTTCAGTTTTTTTTTGTTTTGTTTTATTAACGCTCTAAAAAAATTGCGCAAAACATCAACTTTTATTTTGAAAATGAATGGTGGATAACAAATAAAAACTATTTGTCGTCAATATTTTTATGATGTAATTTGTACAGGGTTGCAAATTTGATTGACAGAAGTTCAAAGTCCATGTGCATATCTTGAAAAATATTGTGCAACTTCCTTTGCGGTCGGAAAAGGGCTTAGAAGCAATTATGGAAAACAGTCTTATGATCGATAATTTTGRACATGTGGGGACCTGAGGAAAGCACTTCAATTGACCTTAGTAAGCCGCAAGGCAGAAAATTATCTACCTATATTTTGCYTTTTAATATTTTCGTTCTAAGACGATTAGTTTACTAAACGTATTATATAAAATTACGATTTCGGTTGTTGCGATCTTCAGGTTTAGTTTTGAGATAATAATCTTGTGACAAGTTGTATTGCACTATCTGATCGTTTTTCTCATCTTTTGATCGTGAGTTTTCTATCTATTCTTGGAAACGAAACTTTTTGAACAACTCGATATCTCGAAAGAAACGCTATTTTAACGAGAGCACTCGTGGGAACCCTGTTGCTCTTGCATTGAAAGTCAGTAAAGTGGATCAAAAATAAAAATTATTCCTGAATATCTAACAAGGATCGAAATGATGTCTCCTTATTATGCACTTTAATTTTATAATGTTCCCTCTGGAGTTTTTGTCCGGACAAAGCCAAGTCGTATTTCTTACAAGAGTGCCACGCAAGGTTACGTGTGTTCGCGCGTTCCACGTCGATGTCCATGCGCCCTAGCGTCCTACGCAGACGTTTTTGGAGTCGTCACGCAAATGTATGGGTAAAGAAACGTTGCGTGATGACGTGACGACCCGAAGAACGTCTGCATAAGGGTAGGGGTACCCAAGGTCCCCAAGGCAACAAAGAAACCAGACTTAGGGCCCTACTGAAAACCACGTCTAGTGAGTAGGTTTCCCTCATTAAAGATTATCAAAGACAAGGTAACTGTGCAGACCCCAGGGTATGTTTTTTAGTATAGGAATAAAAAAGATGCAGTTTCTACAAATGACAGTAATTGAATCCTTTCGTTTTATTTCCAGCATGGGTAGGCGCGTTTACTATTGGCCTTACATTTTTCTGTGGTTCCCTGACTACTCAGCTCTGTCATCGTTTTGGCTGTCGCATCGTTGCCTGCACGGGTAGCGTCCTCTTAGCAGTCTCTATGTTCCTGACTTCCATATCCAACAGCATTTTGTGTATGTACTTCACGTATGGCGTCCTCGGTGGTCTTGCCTGTAGTATGCTTTACTTTTCTTCCCTTGTCGCCTTGATCCAGTACTTCCACAAGCACTTGCCTTTAGCCAATGGTATAGCTATATCGGGGGTAGGCTTTGGAACGCTTTCAATCAACACATTATCCCAGTACCTTATTTCAAATTATGGCCTGCCGCTGACCTTCAGAGTGATGGCCGCATTCTCAGCCGTGGCGTTCGTCGCAGGACTGGCTTATTCTCCGCTCAAAACCCCAGAGGAATGTCCAGAGGAAGCAGAAAAACACCCGACTCTTGAAAAAGAACCTGCTAAGACGTCCAATTCGTTGGCGTCGAAGTGCAAGACATTTTGTAAACTTGGCAAGCAATGGCAGAACAAGGGATTCCTGGTGTGGATCGTGGCTATGTCATTGATATTGTTCGCCTACTTCATCCCAACCATGTATCTAGTAAGTTGGTTTTTAAATAAAAAAGTTTCAGAACATGAACGCACTGAAGTGTGTTGATTTTCTTTGTGACGCATGCGCATAATATTCGAGTTGATACTTCCTGTGTGGCATTTCACTGACCTGCGCATGGCACTGCGCCACAATTGGTTGGTTGTTACACATGGACATCAACTTGGTAATACGTGTGTTTAAATTTTGATATGATATCTGTCATGTGTACAATCGTACATATACTCTTGCCCTGGGATTCAGTGTGTAAACAAATATCTACCTACCTCTCAATACCCCAATACCACTACCCTCTCAAATATACAACACACTAATCCTCTTCTCCAAACCTTTATACCTAATGTTACTAGTGCAAAATCGATTGTGAACGGTTCTTTGAACCACAATCAAAACGTTCACGGGATTTCATGGCATTGACTGTAACAAGTATCATCAAATTCTAACTCGAAGACTAAGAAAAATGGTGTTGAGCACACATTGGTTGCCTTGGTGGCACATCTGCTAGCATCAAGTTGGTTGTCATGGTAACTATAATCGCTGTCCCATGTTCTAAGTCTCAAATTGGTTTCCTTGGTTACTATGGGCCGACTCATCTCATTCTAACGAGGAAAAGATACTTAAATCCGCAAAGTTCTAATCTGCTGTTAAGTAAGTATACCCTTAACTGCATGAGATTTTTCGGTGCCGGGTTTTAGCTTTCGTTTTTGTAGCTTCGACATCGACGTATTGCCATGGAGACGCCATGGAAGCCAACAGAGGACAATCAGCGGGCCAGAACTTATGACGCGCGAGGGAAACTTCATATGGTCACTGATAGTAAGATTTTCACGGGTTATTTCGTGCGGGACATCTTGGAGGCATTTCTAATGGCGARCCGTCTTTTCCAAGTCCGAATACGACTGCAAATTCGGTCGCAATAATTTTTGCGGTAGTGGTTTTCGGCARCTAATGATAGAGTGAAGTAAATTTGAACAAAAAAATTCAGATCATCATTTTTTTAACCAGTTTTTTCGTAGTTATTGTTTCATTCTTGTAAATAGGAGCACCAAATAAGTCACCTGCTATAGAAAAAATGGAAYATAAATGTCAAAAAGTAGCAGAATTGTCAATAAGAGAAAAATAACCAAATCAAGTTATATATATAATTTAGAGTAATATTCCATTAGACACGAGATATCGAACCACATTGGACGTGACTTTTGATGAACTTTGGATACGAAGAAGAAGGAATCCTTGAAAGTAGCTGAAAATGTCTGGCCCTGTATGGTATGCATGCCTTGGTGGATTCGGCGCGAGAAATTGCAAGATATTTAAAAAAATAACAACAATAATTTATAATTTCATTTTCAAATAAAAAGTATAACATTAAATAAAAGTTTCTTGAAAAAGGAAAATTTTCTATGCTTTTTTTCCTCGCTGGTTTTAATGACTTGATTACTTGGGATGCTAACAAATGATTGTATTATTTCCTCACTTGTCTGATCGATATTCGCCAGCTCACTTTAGCGGAAGCTCCACTCGGCATCAATCTCATGCATTTTCTCATCTTTTCTGGTTGATATTTCTTTTCTTTTCAAATTCCTGAATTAAATCAGATTTTTGTATTCACAGTCAAAGATAGCTAAAGATGTTGGTGTCCCGCCCTCCAAAGGAAGTCTACTGGTCGGCATCATGTACATCAGTCAGTCCTTTGGCAAGTTAGCACTTGGGAAGGTTGCAAATCTTCGCTGTGCTAATCGTCCTCTTATCTTCCAACTATCGTTACTCGTGATGTCAGTAGCAGGCTGTCTCTTACCGTTAGCGAAGTCCTACAGTGCATTAGTAACGTATGCGGTTGTCCAAGGATTCTTCGATGGATCGTTTGTTGTATTAAGTGGGTTAATAACGTACGATATAGTTGGTAAAGAGTTGATGGCTGAGGCTTCTGGGAGTTTAAATTCTGTTATATCAATTCCGATGACTCTTGGTCCACCAGTAGCTGGTAAGTAATTTTAAACTTGAATAATTATATCCTTGTCACTGGTTAATTATGTGTTGCCAGAGATGCGCAATCATTGTATC